TCTTGGGGTGCAGCGCAGCTCATGCATGCACAGTGGGAAGCCGGCTGTGAAGCCACAAGGAGTCACAGCCAGTTGCTTTCAGTTAAGATACCAGCGACCCGGACCCGAAGACAGGGCAAAGAGCCAGATTTGGTGAGGACATTGCTGGATACTGGGACAGGTACAGCATTTGTAGCTGCTGACTTTTACATTTTTCTTTACAGGGTGAAGATCCTCTTTAATGTTACTATTTGTTTAAAAGTCTGCTACTTTTTAGGCCTCATGCACATGGAGCTTACAGGCATTCAGGGTTTTTTCTATTATGTCTGTAAAAACACATCTATGTTAGCCTATGTGGCCATGCATTTACATTTACAGGCATATTTGAAGAAGAGCTTTTACATGCAGAAAAAGAAAAAGAAAACAACAAAGGCGCATTCTGAGAGAAGCTTTTGAGCAGAAAAAAATCATTCATACTATGTAAACGTGCATAAACGAGCATGTATTCGTGTTATGTATTCCAATGGCCATAATAAATGAGTATTATGTCCAGTAGAATGCATTTACTTGTAAACATGCATACATAAAGTAACATTAGAGGCACTTTTCTGCCAAGTTCCGGCAGAAAAATGCTGCTTATTTTCATAAATCCACATGCATGAGACATAATATAAGAACAAATGTGGAAAAAAGTGACTTGGAAGGCTCTGCGTAACAGAGACCCCCAGATGAGGAACAGGTGGTATTTCAAGAGAAAAAGGTGTATACAAGAGTGAGGGCCAATTCACACCAGAATCACACACAGAAATGCGGTCCTCATTCTTGTTCATTCTCCTGCAGTGTGATTTGCAAGCCCATTTGATAGGGCTGCAAATCACACCAGAACGCACAAAAAGCAGTTCATGCACTACTTTTGAAAAACTTGCAGTAACCAAATTGCATGGTACTGTGGCACCCTGCGATCTGGTGCCCTCAAAAGCACTGCATTTGCAATCTGCATTTGGGGTGCCATTAACAATGTATTGGCACCTGCAGCAAATTGCAAAGGCAGCATGGGAAATGCACAGGTAACGCACCTTTCCTGCACCGCATTCTGTTGTAAAGTGACCCTGAATCTAAGAGGTTTTGTAATGAGACCGACTTACCTGGCCATTCAGAGCTGTATTAGGCCTTGGCCAAATTGCTGATGCTCTTCAAGAAATACCATTCTTTAGATCCATATGGAACTGTAGGCTGGTGGGTGGACCTGTAGCAGGCTCAAGTTGAGGCTAGATATAATCAGAAGGCAGGCTTCAGGTGCTGATTTCCAACAGTCTCATGACTTGAAAAAAATGGTTTCCACAGTCTGTCCCTGATGCTGCACAGCCCTGTAAAAAAAAACACAAAACATACAGTACAGCAGTTGTTAAAAATAATGCCGCTGCTTCAAAACTAGATGGGAGGCAACCTTTCATGACCCTTCCACTGTAACCAGTCCTAGTGTTTCGCTGAGTTACATATGCACTAGTGCAGCCAGCCAGTCAGACAATTCAAGGTCTGAATCATCATTAGGGATGCCCTTCACACCTGGAACAGTCTATGCGTGAGGCCAAGAACTGCAATCCATATCCCACTTGCTGCTACATTTGTGGTGATAGGAGTTGACTTGGCATCCTTATCCCCCACAGACAGCTATTAGGCCTTGGCTCCTATTACACATATCAAGTTCAGATTGTACTCCTGTATGTATAGCATTAAATCTTTAGTTTAAAGACAAAAAAGAAAAATTAGGTGAGAGAGGTGAACAAGGCCCAGGAAATCACAAAACAAGAACAGAACATTTGAGAGTGGTAACTTTGGTTGTGTTTAGGCTGGCTATTCATTTAGGCTGGTGATACACAACAAAAGGAGCAAATAAGGACCCACAATGCATGATATGAGAGTTTTGGTGTGCTGCAAGTGAATCCATTGGCACCGTATATACTATACACACTGGACACAAGGAGCTGTGCGTTACTGTGCAAGTGTGGCCAACCACTCATTACTGCATGGGGAATCCAGCACACACACACACAGACACACACATGTCAAACAGGGACTTTTAATTTTACAGGTATAAAAAGGAATGCTAGTGTGGCGGTACTACACACAGTAGTAAGTGGCAAGTGTGCCCTATTACTGATAGGCCAATAACGGTGTTATTGCGTGCATGGAACAGCATAAGACGCTCAGCCGCAGTAAGACATCTGAATGGTGTAAACGTTTCAAAGATGGCCATATGCCTGTCAGTGACAATCTCGGCTGTGGTGGTTCCCAGCCCACAGCAGTCATTCCTGGGATAACTCTGCGTGTGCAACTCCTGATCCTGGATAATGGACACATAAAATGTTGTGAAATTTCACAAGAGACTAATCGTTCTGTGGGAACGGTAAACACAGTGAAGTGAAGCAGGCTGTCCTAGGACGGTCCAGCCGTACTGACAAAACTTTCTATGCCAAAGCTTTCCAGGCATTAGTTAAACGCTGGGATAAGTGTATAAATGTCACAGGGGAGTATGTCGAAAAATAAATGCAGTTTCCACTCCTTGAAATTTTTTCTTTCATTATATAAACTAAAAAATCCTGGTTTGACTTGAACACCCCATATATACAGTTAGGTCCATATATATTTGGACACAGGCACAATTTTAGATTTTTCTGGTATTTACAAAACATATTCAAGCTATAGTTATATAATGGATATGGGCTGAAAGTGCACACTCTCAGGTTTAATTTGAGGGTATGTACATCCAATTTGGAGGAAGGGTTTAGGAATTACAGCTCTTAAGAGTAGCCATCCCCACTTTTTCAAAGGACCAAAAGTAATTGGACAATTGAATCAAAAGCTGTTTCATGGCCAGGTGTGGGCTACTCCTTCGTTATTTCTTCATCAATTAAGCAAGTAAAAGGTCTGGAGTTGATTCTAAGTGTGGTATTTGCATTTGGAATCTATAGCTGTGAACTTACATCATGTGTTCAAAGGAACTGTCCATACAAGTAAAACAGGCCATTGTAAGGCTTCAAAAATTAAACAAATCCATCAGAGATAGCAGCAACATTAGGAGTGGCCAAATCAACAGTTTGGTACATTCTGAGGAAAGAAGAACGCACTGGTGATATCAGCAATATAAAGAGGCAAGTCCACGGAAGACAACAGTGGCGGATGATCGCAGGATCCACTCTATTGTAAAGAAAAACACATTCACAACATCCAGACAAGTGAAGGACACTCTCCAAGAGGTGGGCGTATCATTGTCAAAGTCTACAATCAAGAGAAGAATTAAGGAGAGCAAATACAGAGGGTTCACCACAAGGTGCAAACCATTCATAAGCCGGAAGAATATAAAAACCAGATTAGATTTTGCCAAAAAAACATCTAAAAAAGCCAGACCAGTTCTGGAAAAGCATTCTTTGGACGGAAGATTAATCTGTACCAGAATGACGGAAAGAAAAGAAGTTTGGAGAAGCCTTGGAACAGCTCATGATCCAAAGCACTCCACATCATCTGTAAAACATTGTGAGGAAATGTGATGGCATGAGCATGCATAGTTTTCAGTGGCACGGTGTCATCGATGTTTATTGATGATGTGACAGAAGACAGAAGCAGCCGGATGAATTCTGCAATGTTTAGTTATATACTGTCATCCCAGATTCAGCTAAATGCAGCAAAGTTGATTGGACGGCACTTCATAGTACAGATGGACAATGATCCAAAACACACTGCAAACGCAACCCAGGAGCTTTTGAAGGAAAAGATGTGGAATATTCTGTAACGGCTGAGTCAATCACCTTCTCCCAACCCAATTGAGCATGCATTTCACTTGCTGAAGGCAAAACTAAAGGTAGAAAGACCCACAAACAATGAATAACTGAAGACAACTGCAGTTAGAGCCTGGCAAAGCATCAGAAAGGAGGAAACCCAGTATTTGGTAATGTCCATGGGTTCCTGACTTCAGGCAGTCATTGCCAGTAAAGGATTCTCAACAAAATATTAAAAATAAACATTTTATTTATGATTATATTCATTTGTTCAATTACATCTGAGCCCCTGAAAATGGAGGGATTGTGTATAAAAATGGTTGCAGTTCCTAAAATTTGTGCTTGATATTTATGTTCAACCCCTTGAATTAAGCTAAAAGTTTGCACTTCAAATTAGTTTGGATTATTTCATTTTAATTTATTCTGCTGGCATACAGAGCCAAAAGTATGAAAATTGCACCTGTGGCCAAATATACGCCTGCCTTTACACACACATGAACTTTAATGGCATCCCAGTCTTAGTCTGTAGAGATCAATATTGAGTTGGCCCCGCCCTTTGCAGCTATAACAGCTTCAACTCTTCTGGGAAGGCTGTCCACAGGGTTTAGGAGTGTGTCTACGGGAATATTTCTAAAATTCTTCCAGAAGTGCATTTGGGAAGTCAGGCACTGATGTCGGACGAGAAGGCCTGGCTCGCAGTCTCTGCTCTAATTCATCCCAAAGGTGTTCTATCTGGTTGAAGTCAGGAATCTGTGCAGGCCAGCCAGGTTCCTCCACCCCAAATTCACTCATTCATGTCTTTATGGACCTTGACTTGTGCACTGGTGTGCAGTCATGTTGGAACAGAAAGGGGTCATCCCCTACTATTCCCACAAATTTGGGAGCATGAAATTGTCCAAAATGTCTTGGAATGCTGACGCCTTAAGAGTTCCCTTCACTGGAACCAAGGGGCCAAGCCTAACCCCTGAAAAACAACCCCACACCCATCAACCGTCACCATAATCCACCCTCCACCAAACATTACACTTGCAGTCGGGCAAATACTGTTCTCCTGGCAACCATCAAACCTAGACACATCCATCGGATTGCCAGACAGAGAAGCATGATTCATCACTCCAGAGAACATGTCTCCACTGCTCTAGATTCCAGTGGTGACATGCTTTACACCACGCTTTGCATTGCGCTTGGTGAAGTAAGGCTTGGCTGTAGCTGCTTGGCTATGAAAACCCATTCCATGAAGCTCTCCCACACGAAGTTTGGTGGTCTTTAGCTACTGACTCTTCAGACAGTTGGTGACTTCTGCGAAATGTGCGCTTTAGCATGCGCAGACCCTGCTCTGTCATTTTAAGTGGCCTACCACTACGTGGCTGAGTTGCTGTTCCCAGTTGCTTCCACTTAGTTATAATACCACTAACAGTTGACCGTGGAATAGTTAGTTGCAAGGAAATTTCACAGATGGACTTATTGCACAGGTGGCAACCTATCACGGTACCAATCTTGAACTGAAAATGACCCATTCTTTCGCAAATGTTTTCGTAAAGCAGTTTGCACGCCAGGTGCTTGAATTTACACCTGTGGCCAAGGAGGAGATAATGCACACAGACTCACTGAACTGAAAACGACCCATTCTTTCGCAAATGTTTGTAGAAGCAGTTTGCACGCCTAGGTGCTTGATTTTATACACCTGTGGCCATGGAGGTGATTGGAACACCTGAATCCAATGATTTGGAGGGGTGTCCCAATACTTTTGGAAATATAGTGTATACATATGTTTGTGTGTGTGTATATATATATATATATATATATATATATATATATATATATGTATGTAACACATCTCTGTTTCATTCAGTCCAGGTGTCATCTTGTCATTTATTGCTGGTAAAACTTGTAACAAGAAGGTTTGGGGACATAAAATACTCCAGTCAACAATTAACAGTGAGAAGATAATCTTCTCCTTATCCAACTATGAATATTGGACTGTCTAAGGTCTCACTGGTGGGGACCATAAGGCAAGTCTCTTTGGCCTCTGGTTACACTGCACCTTTGCACAGCTATTGGTACCCAGTGAAATCTCAGGAACAGTACAAGAGGGCTCTTTTCTTTAAGCTCACAGTCCAGGTCACTGCTGAGGAGAGGAATGGCCAAAAAAATCTAGGTCACTATGGGAGCAGTATCAGTCCAAGCAACCTCTGGTACCTATATCCTTAAAGCAAACAATCACCAGGAATCAATTCAGGGTGCTACACATGTATAAACACCTCAAACGTGATTTATTTTAATTTTTTTTCTAACATTCTATTATTTAGTAAATCATAAACCAAAACAGCCTTGGATAGGGTTCAGAAGGATTGGAACCTCCGGCAGATTTTTTGCTCTCCCCATCTGGAAGATTTTATCTCACTTCCTCTTTTGTTGACCACATGTTAAGTGAGTATAAGAGATCCTTGTAGGGACACAAAAACAAAAACCTGACAGTACTAACCCCTGCGCACACTATATTAAACAAAAAAACTTGGACACAATGGCCACTGGAGAGATAACTCAGTGCCTTTTATTGTAAGGAGTATGCTTTGGATTTTTCGGGAGTTGGGAGGGGCAAGGGACAGGGTTGCTCTAATATGGAGGTAGAAAATTTAAATTAGACAGGAATAAGTACAGTCCACGAGCCTTAGGAACATAGTAGCTTGGGAAAATGTGTACAGTTAGCAATAAAAGAACTTGCTAGGAAATAGTAGGTGTCAGCTGTAATTATTTATTCATGTTGGTTGTCTGGTATTTGTGAATTGTCTAGCTCCGGTCAAATATATGTCCAGAACAGATCTATCTCAGCACAATAAGCTTTGATCTAAACGTTTGCTGGTTGTACTGCAGAGGCTGAGATGTGCATTTGCCTGCACTTAAAGGGTCAGTCTGCACACAAAAGCGCTATGACAGGACTATTACATATGTGCCAGTGATTACATTTTTCTGTGGAATATTTTAAACAAAAGTTGAATGTACAGTAGAGCTTCTTTTCCTGTCATAATAGATTAAAGAACATACAAGGGAAATCATTTTCACTGACAAGCCCCATTAGTATATCTAAATTGCTTTTTGTCTGGGTTTATTTTCCTCTCCTACTGCCACTGAGCCTGGTAGTGAGCCTGTATTATTTTTTCTCTGAGGCCCATTGACAGTAGAATTTGTAGAACTTCATAGATCATTATTGTCAGACTTACACCTCCAAAGTTTCTAGGTTGGGGAACGGATCATATTTTAAAGAAACCTGGTCTCCACAAAAAGGACAACATTTCAGGTATAAAGTACAGACACTTAGACATTCCTGTACATCTCAGCAGCAGCTTCAGTCTAAAAGTGAGGCCGAATACCAGTCGTTCTGATGGAGAAGGCTCTGAAATCGGGTAGTGTGGTAGCTTGGTGCTAAGTCCCATACTTTCTCACTGCTTTTGGCTCATAATTATGATGGGCTACCTCACTGGCCAATAGGAATGACCGAAGAAGGCAAGGAGTGAGCAAGCTTCGCCATTACAAGAAACAGCCAAGGTCTGTCAGAACAGCCTATTCAAATTTTCAGGCCTTTTGAGGCTACTTTATTACTATTAGTAGTAGTACTGTAATGTACAAGGGCTCTTCAAAAAGTTTCTGCACTTTTTTTAACTCTATTTTATTGAAGACTCCTTGTAACATAATAATTAGAGATGAGCGAATCGAACATGGCGAAGTGGAATTCGTTTCGAATATCAGGAAAAATTCGATTCGCGCCGAATCCGAAAATTAGCAAACTTCGGATGCACGAATCGAATTTTCCCAAAAATGGCGGCGACATGTGTGGGGACGGAGCGGGGATCTCTGGGAAGGCGCGCAGACAAGGTGCGCTGACCCATAATGCATTCATTCATGACATGTGATCGCATTAGCCAATCAGCAGCCAGCCAGCCAGCACTGTGTAATGGTGGAGCTATAAATTGCGGCCATCTTACAATTCTCCATTAGCCTCTGGTCATTCAAGAGAGACAGACCTGTCTGTATTAGGGACAGAGTTACGGCCAGAGAGACTTTAGGGTCACAGAATCGTTACTCAGGGACACAGAATCGTTACTCAGGGACACAGAATCGTTACTCAGGGACACAGAATCGTTACTCAGGGACACAGAATCGTTACTCAGGGACAGACACAGAATTGTTACTCAGGGACAGACACAGAATTGTTACTCAGGGACACAGAATTGTTACTCAGGGACACAGAATCGTTACTGAGGGACACAGAATCGTACTCAGGGACACAGAATTGTTACTCAGGGACACAGAATTGTTACTCAGGGACAGACACAGAATTGTTACTCAGGGACACAGAATTGTTACTCAGGGACACAGAATCGTTACTGAGGGACACAGAATCGTTACTCAGGGACACAGAATCGTTACTCAGGGACACAGAATTGTACTCAGGGACACAGAATCGTTACTCAGGGACACAGAATCGTTGAATTAAAGAGTATGTCAGACAACACGCAGAGGAGTGGCAGAGGAGGCAATGTTTCAGGAGGGCGAGCAGACGTGGCAGCAGAGGAAGGGGTCGAGGCAGCACTAGTTGCAGCCAGAGGCCAGTGCTCCCGGTGTCATCCAGCGGTCGTGTCTCCACCGACAACCCTGCGGTCATCGATTGGTTGGCTCGGTCGTCTTCCTCTTCCCAGGTCACCTCTGACACCTACAGCCAACGGTCGGTGGGTACGTCAGACACAAACCGTTAGTTGGCATGGCCCGGGAGCAAGCCCACTGAAATCACGTGTCCTCTACCTGCCCCTGTCCTTTGGTGTTCCCTCACCAAGCGAAGTATACGCATGCTGTGGGCTCAGCCCCACTGTACAGTGAGGAAGAGCTAACAGAGGGCGGTCAGGAACGGGGGGAGACATCCGCCTCTTCAGCAGCCAGGCGAAGAAGTACTGGTGAGGAGAGTGGCTCGGTAGCCGGTCTAGAGACAGGTCTGTCTCCTGACCCACACGCAGCCGAGGGGGCTAGTAGTGAGGCGGAGACCCTAATTGATCGCACTTGGCAGCCTCGTCGTCATCTGCCAGGCCCGTAATCTGCCATGGGCCCCCGTACCAACTCCTCATGCTGCTGCCAGGCCCGTAATCTGTCATGGGCCCCTGTACCGCCTCCTCATGCTGCTGCCAGGTCCAGAGTGTGTCATGGGTCCCTGTACGGCCTCCCATTGCTGCTGTCTCCATCGCCACACTCTGCCATGTGCCACTTTCAGGTCTCCTCACACTGCTGGTGGGTTCCATTTTGTCATAGGGTGCTGTATGGCCTCCCATTGCTGCTGCCTCCACCGCCACACTGTGGCTCCACACTCTGGTTTTGGCCCCGTGACTGCCCAAATGAGTGAAGTGTGCGGTGATTCTAAGATCGACGGCACTCATCTGCATGTCATACTGACTGACAGTATTATTTCTCTTCCCAGCAGACTCCAAGGGCATTTAAATTAAAGGTACAGTGTTCTGCACGAATATAAAGGCTCTCTGAAGCCTAGAAACACCCTTTTTATAAGTTAAATTCGCAGCGAATATATTCGACTCGAATCAAATTTATTCCGCGAATTCGCCGAATCAGCCGAATCGAATTTTTGAATAATTCGCTCATCTCTAATAATAATAATATATGTTTTTAAAGCTTTTTTCATCCCTGAAGACTCAAAGTGCTTTATCTGCTGATGGGGCTTATGACGAGGCAGCTATCTTGAGCGTTGCAGAATAACCAGTGTTTGAGTATCTGGGAATTTTACGGCACAAATTTTTGCAATGTCAAATATTTTGCATAAACTGTATATAAACTCTTATATGGTCAATATTTTATTATTAAAAAAATAAAACATCATAAAAACACTGGCTATCATAACAATGGTATTACTCATACAAGGTCTCCATATTACGTATAGTGTTTATATATATATATATATATATATATGTATATACACACATATATACACACACTATATTACTAAAAGTATTGGGACGCCTCCCTTTACATGCACATGAACTTAACAGGCATCCCAGTCTTAGTTCGTAGGGTTTAATATTGAGTTGGCCCGCCCTTTGCAGCTATAACAGCTTCAACTCTTCTGGGAAGACTGTCCACAAGGTTTAGGAGTGTGTCTATGGGAAGGTTTAATCATTCTTCTAGACGAGTATTTGTGAGGTCAGGCACTGATGTCAGACAAGGCCTGGCTCGCAGTCTCCGCTCTTCATCCCAACGGTGTTCTATCGGGTTGAGGTCAGGACTCTGTGCAGGCCAGTCAAGTTCCTCCACCCCAAACTCACTCATCCATGTCTTTATGGACCTTGCTTTGTGCACTGGTGGGCAGTCATGTTGGAACAGGAAGGGGCCATCTCCAAACTGTTCTCACAAAGATGGGAGCATGAAATTGTCCAAAATACCTTGGTATGTTGACTCCTTAAGAGTTCTCTTCACTGGAACTAAGGAGCCCCTGAAAAACAAAACCACATCATAATCTCCCCTTCACCAAACATTACACTTGGCACAATGCAGTCAGACAAGTACTGTTCTCCTGGCAACTGCCAAACCCAGATACGCCCATCAGATTGCCAGACAAAGAAGCATGATTCGTCACTCCAGAGAACATGACTCCACTGCTCTAGAGTCCAGTGGTGGCGAGCTTTACACTACATCCGGCGCTTTGCACTGCACTTGGTGATGTAAGGCTTGGATGCAGCTGCTCGGCCATGGAAACCTATTCCATAAAGCCCGCTACATGCTTTTGTGCTAATCACTAAATTTGGAGGTCTTTAGCTATTGACTCTGCAGGCCATTGGCGACTTCTGTGAACTATGCGCTTCAGCATTCCCAGACCCTGCTCTGTCATTTTACGTGGCCTACCACTTCATGGCTGAGGAGTTGTTGTTCCAATTTGTTTCCACTTTGTTATAATACCACTAACAGTTGACCGTGGAATATTTAGTAGCAAGGAAATTTCACGGATGGACTTATTGCACAGGTGGCAACCTATCACAGTACCACATTTGAATTCACTGAGCTCCTGAGAGCGACCCATTCAAAATGCTTTATCTGGGACATACGGCGAGGCAGCCATCCTGGGCTCTGTAGAATATCATACTAGGGCTAATTTTAGACAGGAGTCAATTAACCTACCAGCATGTCTTTGGAGAGTGGGAGCAAACCGGAGTACCCAGAGGAAATTCATGCAAGCACAGGCAGAACCTGGACAAAAAAAGTATGGGGGATAGTAGGCACATGTGCCCAGATTGTATGTCACTTGTCATTTTAAGGCCTCTTTTACACAGGCGGCAAGGGGGTGGTTGAACTGCATTTTTCTGCCCCCCCCCCCCAACTGCCCACCTAAAACTTAACATGGCAGGTGGAGGGGTTTGCAAAATGTCATGGTAAATTTAATTTGCATGACTTTTGTCCCACGTGATAGAAGCCTAAAGCCTAGTATACACAGGCCGAATGTTGGGCGGCATCAGCCAGTTCAATAGAAACTAACCAACATTCGGCCCCTGTGTACATCAGTCTTCTATCAAAGGGGCATGACCAAAAAAGGTCTGCTGACTGGCTCCCAGTCAGCGCTCTCAGCCTATGGATGAGAGCACTGACCAGAGTGTTTTGGCAGGGGGCCTTCCTTCCTGTCAGAACACAATAGCACAGCAGGGAAGATCGCTGTACTAACATTGAATAGTTAGTACAGCGGCTCCTCCTGAGCTGTCAAGTTTTTCTTGTTGAGCCCGCTGGGTTGAACACAAAAAAACTAGTAGTGTGCACCAGGCTTAAATCTGGAAAGAGCACTACTGGAGCCACGTAATAGAACTGTAATCTGGGATATGGTGAGATTAGGCAATCTCCTACCCTATTTTACAACAGTGTTTAGTGTCTCTAAAACTTTACCCATAGTTGAAAAAGCTATGTGTACCTGCAGAATGCAATTAGTCCATTGCACTTCAATTCCCTTGATTATATACAAAATAGCTTCTGGGGAAGGGGAATTCCCTCTGTTACTATACAGAAAATTAAACTGTTTGCTGGATGTTCGATAATCTCTTTATTTAATAAAAACATTTTAAACTGGCTGATTTTCATTCATAAAAATCTCACCAGTTCGTCTTCACATCATTTAGTGAAATTAACAAACATTGCAAGACAAACAGCTTCAATGAGCAACAAGATAAACAAAAATGTGCGCTCTCTTGTTGAGCCTTCTGGGTATTTTCCCTCCACATTATGAAGCAAAGCGATATCAGACCTAGAGAGAGATATGATACCCAGAGTGTGTCAGCCTGCCCGCCTCTCTTATTATGCTCCATTTCCTTCACATGTCTGGGATTGTCTCATACCCACCCTGAAGGAATCTGTAACCCAGAAAGGATGCTGCAATATTATTTTTAGGGAGATGCCCATATGCAGCAGAAGGAGAAGATTCATGGAGCATTATGAGATGTAGAGATGTTACACAGAACACTGGAAGGTCAGAGCCAGCACCATGTGCAGCACTGGAATCATTAAAGGAAAACTCTAGCCTGATAAAATAACAGAATACTGTTTAAAAATCAGGATGCAGTGTCTAGTGGTGTACTTGACCATTTTAAGGGAAGAAATTGCCCCAAGATCAATATATAGGGAGATATCAACCAATGATCATGATCCTTGCTCACCGCAGACAGAAAAGTACATATAATAATTAGGAGGGTCCTTCATACTACACAGGAGAGAAAAGGATTAGCACAGTGGGAACATTTTCAGCACTTTTTTTAATCTCCAGCATCAAGTAACTTGCATACACACTGTTAAAAGCATAGCAAGTTGATAAAAGTGTAACTCCAGCCGAAACTATTTTTTCAGTTTTGGGTTGAGTGGAAACAAGTAAACTGTATCTGAGCACCAAAAACTCTATTTTTTTCAATATTCAGAGCTAAGTCACCCATCTATCCATGTCCCTATGCTTTATTTTGTTGAGAAATCACTTTGAACCCCCCCATCCACAGTATTTCCTAGCTGCAGTCATAATGAGTAAGGGCATGTGGGGTGGTGCACCAAGGTGTGGTGGCAGTGAAGACACAGAGTCCAGTTGCAAAAACAGAACTTGTACTAAAGTCAAAGTTCAACTTACAAACAGCCCAGGGGAAAGGCAGCCAACCAGTAACACAGGGTTTAATTGCATAGGAGTGTGCCAGCAGCGTCGGTCTTAGAGGGCAGAAAGCAGCCTGGCTGTCCTGCACCCAAATGGGAGGATTCCAGCAAAGATGGCGTGCCCCTGTCCTCTCCCTACTAGTCTGAAACCTTTCTCTACTGCTATTCACTTAGCCCGACAGAGTGATCTATCCCTATGCTACCCACTAGCAAAATGTGTGCCAAGCCAGGGTCTTAAATAGATTCTGCCTGACCCAAGATGGCCACCAGAGTCACATGGAGTGGCAGCATCCAATCGGATTGCTTCCCCAGTGACCAAGAAAACCATAGAACAGTATGTTGCGCTTGACTTCCTCTCCCTCTGCAGTGCCGCTGTCGCTGCTGCTGGAGCTGAGGTCCTTCCCTACAAGTGCCTCGTGCTCCAGTGTTTTGCTTGCTGTCAGATACTGCTATCTGTTCCTGTTCCTGCCCTGTACGCTGTACCCGTATCCAGCTGCCTTGCACCTGCTTTCCCTTGTTCTTGATCCCAATTTTGGTTCCCCCTTCCCATCTGCTCTTTGCATCTTCAGTTTTCCCCTGCTTTTTGTGTTCCTCATTGACATGACCTATGACATGCACAGTTTTAGGCCTCTTTCACCTGGACGTTCCGATTGAGTCCGCCTGCCCGTTTTTCAGGCGGAACCGATTAGAACCTCCATTCTCCTCTATGGAGCAGTGGCAAATGCAATCCGACCCGCAAAAAAGGGACAGATGGGAATCCAATTCCCCTTCCGTACATCGGATGGGATCGAATGGAATTAGACAGGTGGTCCGTTTTCATCCGACTGCCAAATGAGGAGAGCAAGCTACTGTGTCTACTCTGCAGCAGCGGAGCGGACACAGACCTGTCATCCGCTTGCTTAGCGGGGATCAGTGGAGAGATCCCCCGCTGAGCAAGCAGATCCACTAAATGGGTCCGCCCCATGTAAAAGGACCCTTAATAACATATGTCAAAGTTGCAAAACAGTGTTCAGGCATTAAAATTTGTTTTACCGTCATCGTGAAGGGGTTAATGTCCGGAAGGTCAACAACATCCTATTTTTTTGTTTTTGCTGGTTGAACGAAAAAAAGCACAAAACACAAAAACAGATAAATTTTCCCTGCTGCACTATTGTATTCTGACAGCAGGGATTGACCCCCCCCCCCCCTTCCCGTCAGAATACACAGATCAGTGTTGCAGTCAGTGGCTGCATGCACTGATCAAATGCTGGTTTTACAGCAGGACTGTTCTATAGAAGCAGATCTTCCAGCAGGACTGTTCTACAGAAGCTGGTCTAACAAACAGCTTCTGTTGAACAGAGAAGGACACGGACA